ACAGATCGAAAACGCACACGCACCAGGACACCCCACTGGGACACCTCTGACGAGCGGTGCCACGCCTCAGAGAGGTGGGCGGTGGCCACGCGGTACAATACGCACGCAAGCACACTCGATGCCAATACGAGTACACTACTTTTGTACAACGGTCGACTCATTCCGCTTTCCGAAGGCGCGCGCTTTTCCGAGCAAAGCTGAGCGCCTTGCACTTCTCGTCACTGGGCAGCTTCACCCGCCAACCGGCCAACTCTGTTCGAAAATCGTCATCGGCGAGGTCGGGGGTCCATTCGACTGCGAATTGTATGGCCATAGGGCCTTGGGGGTTTTGATTCTTGTTCACAGGCTCGCCATTTAGATAGACGTACATCCGTGCGTCGTCGGGTAAGCCACACACCTCATGGGCGCTCAGACGCATCGTCGGCCAGAGGAGCTCGGAGGCGTGCCGGTCTTCTCCAAAAGGAAGCATCTCATGTGTATCGGGTCTGGCGAGCGTCGGCGGCAACGGCAGATCAATCCGCCTGCCATACTCGTTTACGAGCTTGACCGCTCCATCGCCACCCATACTAGTGATCTCGTCTCGCTCGTCGGCGTCCTGGGAGCCAATGAGATTGGTCGCCACGGAGCCCAGAGGGACCGTGGCGTACACCAGGTCGCCGAACCCGCTGCCCCCCTCGGGAGGCAGCGAGTAGGCGACCTGAATATTGGACCCCGCTGGGTTGCGCGCCGCCTGCGTCGCAGCCTCCAGGCCGTCCATGACGAACTCGACGTTCTCGCGCAGCTGCGCGTGCGGGTAGTCCGCACGCTCAGCCTCGCTCGCAGCCGCCGCCGCAGCCTTCTCCGCCTTGTTCGCCTTCTGCCGGGCCTTTTTGGCCCTGCGAGCCGCGGCCCGAGCATCCTTCTGCTCCTCCGTCAGCTCCTCCTTCCGCGGCGCGGTGCGCTCGACGAACGAGCGCTCCGCCGCCTGCACCGGCTCGCGGTCGCCCGCGGCCTTCTCGTGCTTCAGGTCGAAGGTCGCCGTCCCGTAGCCAGGGACCTCATACCTGAGCTGCGACACACCTGCAAGCCTTGCGGCAATGAGGCAGTCTTGCATGTTCAATCAATCGCGTCCTCTGCCCCCTCGAGAAACCACGACGACACACACCAGTCGACTCGCACTGGGCCTTGCACTTTCGGTTCCGCTCCACACCCCCCCGCAAGGGCCAAGCGCCAAGGGCAAGGCGCGAGACACACACATGCACTTTTAATGCCGTGGGGCTCCTGTCGTCTAGACGTGGAGACGCGAGGGTCGCCTCCACCACCTCGTGTGTGTGGAGAAGTTTACCTTACCTCAGTGGAAAAAAACTCGGACCCACGAAGACAAGGAGCGCGCGCCAATGGCCGCCTCCGTGACACTCCCACCTCCTGGGCCGGCGCGGGAGTTTTACTGCCGAGTTTCTCCCGGCCGGCCGCCTCCTGACACGCCCACTGACCGAGCCCATCGAAAAAAATTCGGCGCGCCGCACTGCTCTGACCCCTGCTCGCCCCTGCTCGCCCCTGCTCGCCACTGTCGCCTCGGTTGCCGAGGCTGCCGCGCACCCGCGCGCTACGCGACTACGAACTGCACCAGCTGGGCTCGAACCAACGACCAAAACGTCCCCGACCCGAACGCTGCACCAACTAGGCCACACCGCAGGCTCGATATGCAATACGCACAAAACTGGCCGCTCATAAAGCACTACTCATTTGCCGAGGCCACGCGGCGCCCCTCCACAGCCAGCCTACCCTCCTATCGCGCCACTCGAAGCCCCGCGGCCGCCTCTCGCCTACCGCGCTGCCCTCGCCTGCCACCGCACCGCCCGCGCTCCAGCCTAACCAGCTCTGCATCTCGCAACACACACTTGACAGGGACAGACCAGGCGCAGGAAAAGGGAGCGGGGCCCGAATCCAAGGGACCACCCCGTCGGGCGGAGGAGCTGTGAACTCAGGTCCAGCAGGAAGGCTGCTGGCTCCTGACTCATCCCCCAAATCCCCCACACCTTGGCGGCCTGAAACCTTACCATTCCGACACCTCACACACACCCCTCCCCTAGGGCTAAGCAGTGCGCGAGCCCACCCGACTTCAGGCGAGACGTTGACCACTCCTTTGGAACAGTTCTGTCAGTGGCTGCACTAGACGCCCACAGAGGCGCGCGGCGCGGGCAGATGACTAGGGGAGAAAAAGCGGAGAACCTAGCTCGCTGGGAGATGTGCGCAACCTAAAGACGGGAATAGGGGAGAAGTGTCAGTGTGAGGGGAGGGCGTAGGCTGGCGTTTTTGCCTTTGAAAACTGAACAGTTTTTTTTTACCTTACCTCAGTGTGAAAACCAACGCCCGTCGACCAAGGAGGTCACAGTCCCGACCCCGTGCTGGGGCCGAAGCCGTCGAAGACGCTCGTAAAGTGCTCGAAGGCGTTGTTTGACTTTGGTCCCTCCCAGTAGAGCTTGCCGCACGAGCGGCACGCGTAGAACTCGTCGATCGCCTCGAGCACCTTTGGCGGGCAGTCGTCGCGGCCGGCCACCTCCGCCTTGCTCAGCTTGACGTAGCCGCGGCCGTTGCACACGCTGCAGCGCATCATGAACTCGTCCGCCGAGAGGCGGAGCCCGAAGTGCGCCACCACCTCCCTGCGGCGCGTGCGGTAGGGGCGGCGGTGAGGGAGGCGGGTGTGGCGGTGAGGGGAGGCGGGTGTGGCGGCGGCTGTGAAAGCGGTACGTCCAGACGGGTGTGGCGGTGAGGGAGGCGGATGTGGCGGCTGGTTTGAAAGTGGATGCAGCCAGACGGTGCATCATCACGGTGCAGAGTAGGCTCCTCTACCTCAGCTGTTCGCGCGACTCGTCCGAAGAGACGACGAAGACGGCGACCATGCCGCAGCCTGTCCACAGCGGAGGGGGCGCGTGAGTGCGCTGCTCACACTGTCGACAGAGGCGGCGGCCATGCCGCAAGCCCTTTCGTCATATCTCGGCTAGATCTCGGCTAGATCTCGGCTAGATCTCGGCTATATCTCGGCTATATGCCGCAAGCCCTTTCGTTCGGCGAGCTTCCGGTCGCGGGTCAGCAGGATGCGAGACTCCGCCTGGCGCCGGCTTTAATGAGTGAATAACTGACGACTCGTGAATAATGAAGTATGAACAGAGCCTCGGAATGAGCAGCCCGCAGAGTGAGGGACGATGGATCACTCACTAAGCAGACGCCTGGCACCGGCCGAAGAGTGCATGGAGCGACTCGCCCTCCTCCCTCAGCAGCGAGTCCACGCCGAGCACTCGCAGCCACCGCAGCAGCCGCCCCATCATCGCGTCGACGACGAACCTGCTTCGCGACCAGCCACATGAGGAGTGCCTCACCCAAAAGGAAGCCGCCGCCACCCTCGTCGCGTCGCACCGAGGCTCGACGGACAGCGCGGGGCGGCCGCCGTGCCCCCCTCCCGGCAAACACGCCGCGCGGGAGGGCACCTATTAGTTATTAACGGTTAATGATTAGTAATCAACAGCCCCCTCTACAAAGGATGCCGCGCGAGAGGGCACCGAGCCGCACGCCTCGCCGTCTCCCCTGCACGCCGCCAGCCCAGCCGCTTCCCCCCCGGCCGCATCGCGCATGCCGCCGAGCTGCAGCAGGGAGAGCCGCACGCGCTCCTTCGCCGCGGCAGAGACGCCCGACTCGACCGCCCTGCTCTCCCCCGGCTCTCTCTCCGGTGGCTCGGGGGGCGCCACCGACGCCGACGCCGCGCCGGCGAGGCGAGAGCGGAAGGACATCGGGGCTTCTGTTGGGCGGTCGGAGAGGCCCTGCGGCTCCGCAGCCGCGGCCTCGGCGATCTCGGCGACGGACGAGGAGGGCAGCGATGTGAGAGCGGACGCCTGTCAGAAGAAGACGAGACTGAGACTGAGACTGAGACTGAGAATACGACTCGGGAGGGCAGCGGTGTGAGAGCGGACGCCTCGACGCGGAGGAGTGTGCCTAATGAACCATGCACGCCAGGACTGGGCAGCCGAGTCCTCCACATCACACGCCCCGGACATTTAGGGACGAGCGTGCCGAAGTCGCCCCCGCCCGCCAGCAGCGGCAACGCGCTCGCCGCGCATTCTGCGTCGAGGACGAGCGGGAAGGAGAGGCGATGCGCGAGCGGCGGCACGGTGCCCGGCCGGAAGCCAAACACTGCGACGCACTCTGCGGGAGAGGCGAGGCGCACCTACGGGGAGAGATGGGGGGAGATGGGGGGGAGATGGGGAGAGCCGGGGAGAGATGGGGGGAGATAGGGAGAGATGGGGAGAGATGGGGGGAGATGGGGGGAGATCACCGAGATGGGGAGCTGGAGACATGGGGCGA